AGGAGAATTTCCCCAATCTGGCAAAGAAAATAGACTTCCAAGAAATCCAGGAAGCTCAGAGAGTCCCAAAAAAGTTGGACCCAAGAAGGGACACACCAAGGCACATCATCATTACATTAGCCAAAATTAAAATGAAGGAGAGAATCCTAGAAGCAGCAAGAGCTAAGGGGACAGTCACCTATAAAGGAGTTCCCATCAGACTGTCAGCTGATTTCTCAAAAGAGACCTTACAGGCAAGAAGGGGCTGGAAAGAGGTATTCCAAGTCATGAAAACCAAAGATCTACAACCAAGATTGCTCTACCCAGCAAAGTTTTCATTTAGAATGGAAGGACAGATAAGGTGCTTCTCAGATAAGACCAAATTCAAGGAGTTCATCAGCACCAAGCCTTTATTATATGAAATGTTAAAGGGACTTATCTAAGAAAAAGAAGATAAAAAAGATGAACAGTGAAAGGACAGCAAACTCACAGTTATTAAGAACCACACCTAAAACAAAAGCAAATTAAGAGGACAGAAGCTAGATCAGGAGCAGAACCATTGAAATGAAGATCTCATGGAGGGTTAGCAACAGGGGGAGTGGGAGGAGGGGAAGGGGGAGAAGGTACAGAAAATAAGTAGCATAGACAGTAGATAGAAAATAGATAGGGGGAGGGGTAAGAAAGCAGGGGAAATACAGAATCTAAAGAATTTGAGACACGTGTTCATGAACTAAAGGGGGAAATGGTGGGGGAGGGGTATGCAGGGTGGAGGGGAATGGGGGGAATAGAGCAAATGTAATGGCATAATCAATAAAAAAAAGTTAAAAAAAAAAAACATAGCAGTAAGAGGAATACCAGGGGACAAATCACAGGAGTAAAAATTCTACCTAGTTGTACTAGGCTTGTGCCTCATTTGAAGAAAACCATAAACAAGAAATATTCCAACATAAAAGACTAGATTTGCTCAAGAGCATTCATGTTACTTAGCTTTATCAACTTTAATAATAACATCTACCATAAGCCTGAAAACATGTATATAAGATGTTATCTCTGTTAGCCATGTCTTTCTTTAAGAAAAATCAAATAGCAAATTGACTTTGTGGTACTTTGTGTACTGTGTTACAAAGTTCATTTAAATGAAGTGCAATACTCAATAAATCACATATTGTTGTTATTCCCATTTTTCAAGATAAGGCACTGTGACTCTCAGGGGTGACCTAATTTGCCCAAGATCACATAGCTCAGTGACCTAGTATGGCTTCCATAAATATTGTTCAACTTCAAATGTGAGAATAAATTTAAAATATTGCATGCAATGAACTTGGTTAACACAATGCCTGGTAAATATTAATTATTACTAGGACATACAAGATACCCTAATACTCTAAATAGACACAAGATTTCTAAAAGCTACTTACTATTGAATTAATTTAGTTCAAATTCCTGGCTCCAACTTAGAGTTGACCCTTGAACAACTCAGGGGTTGGGGTACCTACTTCCTGTGCAGTAGAAAATTCACATATAACTATAATTAGCCCTTAGCACATGTGCATTCTCAACAAGGGAGTTTACCCTTGAACAACTCCAGTTTGAAGTGTGTGGGTCAATTGAACTGTAGTCAATTGAAACCCCTGTTGCTCAAGGGTCAAACTGTAATAGGAAATAAAAACTTTATACTACTCTGAAATGGAAGACTTACCATAAAATGGAATTAAAATAAGATGTACTAACAAATTGATAAAAAGAACTCACACACTAACAGTTTCTTTGTAAGCATATTGCAAACGCCAGCAATTCCAGTTCCTGCCTGTAGAAGAAATGGCTCTGACCACAACTTCAGGTGACGCAGATTGCCCAACTGCAGGAATTTGGCTGACACTGACCAGTTCCAGGATGCTGACATTAAATATCCATGTCCAGACCACCGAGGACACAGCCAACATGTCCACAGCCTCTCCCCCTTATCTCTTTGTTCTCCTCCTTCCTCTCCCTTCTTATTAAACCCCCTGCCTAGGATTTCCACCAAGATGGAGGTATAGACGGAAACACTTTGGGTCCTCACACAAACAAACCTAAAAACAATAAAGATTTAACAATAATAAACGCAATCAAACCACACAGAAAATGGACAATACAGAGTCCAAAAACAACAAAATGCTCAGCTAAACTGGTGAGAGGGGCTAAGCCAGCAGCGGAGTGGGTCAGGCAGGGAAGATCCCCCGACCTGGGCGGTGCAAAGGCAGCAGAGGGCGCGGATCCCAGGTGTGGGCTAGCTACACCGGGAAGAGGCACAGCTGGCTGTCTGAGGCGCAGCATTTGCAGGCAGATAAACCAGTGAAGAGGTGAGCATTGAGACCGCGTGGCGCAGGACAGCAGGCTCGCACATTGTGCTCAGATAAACAGGCAGGGGGTGAGCGGTAAGGCGAACTGGGCAAGTGTAGAGGACCGCCATTGCTCCCTCTCTGACCCTGCCCCCGCATACAGTGTCACAAACCAGGGACCTGGGTGGCCCCGCCCTGGTGAATGCCTAAGGCGCCTCTCCTCATACGTAACAGGCACAAACAGATCAAAACATGGCTCAAGAACAATTCAGAGCCCCAGAGCCAATAAATCTAAGTGACGAAGAAATAGCCAAACTATCAGATGCACAGTTCAAAACACTAGTGATCAGGATGCTCACAGAACTGGTTGATTTTAGTCACAAATTAGAGGAATATATAAAGGCTAAACTAATTGCAATGAATGGTAATGCACAGGAAACCAATAGTAATGGAAAGGAAACTGGGACTCAAATCAAAGGAGTAGACCAGAAGGAAGGAAAAAATGACCAAACAGAAAAATATGAAGAAACAAGAATTCAGAAAAATGAGGAGAAGCTTAGGAACCTCCAGGACATCTTTAACTGCTCCAACATCCAAATTATAGAGGTACCAGAAGGGGAAGAAGAACAGTTATGAGTGGAAACCTTATTTGAACAAATAATAAAAGAGAACTTTCCCATTCTGGCAAAGGAAGTAGACTTCCAGGAAATCTAGGAAGCTCAGAGAGTCCCAAAGAAGTTGGACCCAAGAAGGAACACACCAAGGCACATCATCATTACATTAGCCAAGATTAAAATGAAGGAGAGAATCCTAGAAGCAGCAAGAGATAAGGGGACTGTCACCTACAAAGGAGTTCCCATCAGATTGTCAGCTGATTTCTCAAAAGAGACCTTACAGGCAAGAAGGGGCTGGAAAGAAGTATTCCAAGTCATGAAAACCAAAGACCTACAACCAAGATTGCTCTATCCAGCAAAGCTTTCATTTAGAATGGAAGGACAGATAAAGTGCTTCTCAGATAAGATCAAGTTCAATGAGTTCATCATCACCAAGCCCTTATTATATGAAATGTTAAAGGGACTTACCTAAGAAAAAGAAGATAAAAAAGATAAACAGTGAAAGGACAGCGAACTCACAGTTATCAACAACCACACCTAAAACAAAAGCAAATTAAGAGGACAGCTAGATCAGGAGTGAACCATAGAAATGAAGATCACGTGGAGGATTAGCAACAGGGGAATGGGAGAAGGAGAAGGGGGGAGAAGGTACAGAAAGTAAGTAGCATAGACGGTAGATAAAAAATGGATAGGGGGGAGTGTAAGAATAGTAGGGGAAATATAGAATCTAAAGAACTTGAGACACATGTTCATGAACTAAAGGGGGGAATAGTGGGGGAGGGGTGTGCAGGGTGGAGGGGAATGAAGGGGGAAAATAGAACAAATGTAATGGCATAATCAATAAAATAAAAAATATATTAAAAAGAAAGTAAATAAATAAATAAATAAAACCCCTGCCTGAACTGAGATGTTAAGATGGGCTTTAAGATGAGAGTCCCTCATCTTCCGGGTGACCAGCACTTGAATAAAATCACTTTCCTTTACATCAGCACCTGCCTCTCCAGTATTCGTTTTCAAAGTAGCACATAGCTGGACCTTGCTTTCTGTTACAAAAGGTAGTTGCCGCCTACGTCCTCCCACAACACTTCTCTCTCAGCAACCCTATGTATCCCCTTCAAAAATATTCAGGATTGTTGTTTTCCTAAACAAAAAATTTGTGTAATGATTGGCATTGTTTTACATTTTCACCAATTTCCTCAGTGTTTGATATGAGACACCTAGATTCTCACACTCTGGAAAGTTCTATTGAACAAGCCTGAGACTCTGAGAATAAAAATGGCAAGTATCTTCCTACATTTATGAACATCGTATTGAGCTTGCAGATCCCCAGACCATATTTTGGCAACCCACTGGGTTAGAGTATGTTATTATTCTCTTCATGATCAAGACTTCTAGATTGCCTAGTTCCATCTCATTCTTCTCTAGCCAGGAATTACTAGTACAATGACAGTAGCTCTACCTTCCAGGAGGATAAGGGCTTTATCTCACTAGTTGACTGAATTCCTGCACCTACTTGAAGCACAATAATCACCAAGGGAGTGATGAACCTGGCAGCAGGGCGGGTCTCATAAAATCTGATTCGGCCTAGGGCAGCAGGTCTCTGGAGCAACTGAGGAAACTGCAGACAACACAACTAGGCCAAGACCACTCAAATGAGTCGCAAAGTTTAATAAGTTGTCTAAAAACTCTTTAATCAACATAAATGATATTTAAGGCAATACTTTAAAAATTTGAAAATTCGAATTGGTAAGCTTCAGCCTGCTGGCGGTTTTGTAAATAAAATTTTACGAATGATTTTCGGAAAACTTTACAAATCGTCGTTTAAATCACTCACAGGGCTCGCTCTGGCACTTGGTCGCGCTACAGGGCAGTTAGGACCAAAGACTGACGGGAAAAATCTTCAGGTACCAGAACTCTCCTCAGCCAACTTTCACCTCTCAGTAGCCTTTCTCTTCAGCCACTCCGCCGGGTCATCTCTGATTGGCTGTGCTGTCGCACGTTCTTGCTGCCATTGGCCTGGAGACCATAGGGGTGGAGTCAGGGAGATTTACCTCAGCCCAGCCCCCTTGGGAGCGTTACAGTGCGCGGCGTTGGAACTTGGGAACAGTTGTGAAGAGGCTGCTGGCGCGGTGTGGCACCGCTGTAGGTACGTTGGGGGCGGACGTGAGCCCTGGGGGAGCAGCGTTTAGACAGCTCAGCTGTTTCTCTGGGGCCGGGAGCATCTCTGAGGCTCGGGCTGGGATCCCTCGGCGCGCCGCGCCAGCTGAGGTAGTTTGTGGCGGGGCTGGCCGAAAGGCGTCTGTGGAGGTGCTGGGGCTCGGAGCTGGTCAGGAAGACGCCCGCGAAGGGCTAAAGGATTCGTCTACATCGCTTTCCGGGAGAGTCTCGGGTTACGTGGTAGAGGTAGTGGTAATGGTGTGTGTAGCAGTCCGTCGTGGGAGTGGAGGCTGCCTAGGGACATTGCCCTAGGTTTTTTTACTCGCCGAGTCGGTAAAGCTTTGGGCTGCACCGGCTTATGCCGGAATACACCGGACTACTTTTTCGTGCTAATGGATGAAATGTAGTCCCCAGCCCCAGTTTCTGTAATCGCTTATCCAGTTTACTTGATGTGTTTTACGCAGTCAGGTGAATAATCTGGTGCCAGAACAGTTGGCTGGACTTCACCAGGTGGCAAGGAGGCGTCCCTTGATATATGTTGTTAGGAACTAGGTGCAAGAATATCAGGAGAAATAATAAAATTATGAGCAATATGCCAAAAGTGCCTTAGTTAATGAAAGAACCTGGAGCACAACCATGTAATGTGCACCTGTTGAGTCGCCCAGTGTAGGGATGCTATAATTTAACAATGAAAGCCGAGTACAAGGATGGTCTTTATCATAGAGGTTCATATTTGTAAATTGGGGGGGGGGGGGAATCAGAGACTGTTTCCTTATTGTCCCTTCCCCACCCACTTTCCCCAATTTTGGCAAGTTCAAGAATGTGTCCGGTACAAAGGAAGCTATTCTTTTGCTTTGTCGAAAATCTTGCTATACATGGAAAACTGACTTCCACTTTTCTGTGTTAGTATGTTGAGGATGAAGTTTCTAATGTAAGCTTAGACAGCTGGGTTGTTTTAGAATAAGCTAGTTTTTTGTCATTGTTGTTGTTTGGTCGAGTTTCTTGGGGGGGCGGTGGGAGGAGCTTAAACACAAGAAATCTCTTGTAGTTCTGTAGGCTGGCAAGTCCAAGGTAAGGCGCCAGCAGATTGGGTGCCTGGTGAGAGCCTGTGTTCTAGTTCCTGACAAGCTAATTTTCACTGCTGAAAACTTAGATGTGATCAGGATGTAGAAAAAGATCATTGTACTGAATGATTCATTAGAAGATTTACATCATATCCACTTAAACAGACTGATTTTTCTATTTTGGGATTTAATATGCTTTTCATTGTGATTCTGTCATGTATTCACTTGTAGCCAGTAAATGACCTGCAACGTAACTATTTGCAAAACAAAAGGGAAAGAACATTCAAAATAGATAATTTATATCACAGGAAAACTATTGAAATGCAAAAATTAAGCATCTGAATGAAGGCCTGATTACATTGAATTCAGCTTTTTGTGATTTATGCCACCTTAGTTTCTCCTTCGTTTTTTACAAATGCTGAAGCAGACCTTAATCAAATTAATCTACTTAACACACAGTCTTACCTTATTGACCGCTGTATTAAACCTCAACCTTCAATTCCACTGTACTTTCCTGCTATTTAATATGTTTAATTCTGGTATGAAAATATTGCACCATTCCTGTACCTTTGCCTGTTCATATCAGGTAGATCTCTTACAGTGAGTGTGTATATACATATTTCATTTGATGTGAACAAATGTTAAGTAATATAATGGTAGTTGTTAAAAATAAAAATAAATTTTGTAACTTTAAATGCACAAGAGTATTAGTTCTCATGAAATTGAGATTATATTGGGTTGGCCAAAATTCCGTTATGTTTTCTCTGTACAACAGCTGTTGTAATGCTTAGTTGTCTTTAACTTCATTTGGAACAATTTTGTTAGATTGTATTGTGGCAGCTGGCGTATCATTGTACATTGTTTTAAAAATCAAAATTGGTGAATTTTTGTACAGCCATTTTAATATTGAAGATGGAAGAAAATATTAAACTTTTTGATGTATTTATTTCAAGAAAGGTGAAAATGCAACTGAAATGCAAAAAAAGATTTGTGCAGTGTATGGAGGTGGTGCTGTGACTGATCAACTGTATCAAAAGTAGTTTGTTAATTTTCTTGGTACTATTGACATTTTGGCCAAATAATTCTTTGCTGTGGGGCTGTCTTACACATTGTAAGATGTTTAGCAGCACACCTAGACTCTACCCACAAGAAGCCGATAACAGGAGAGAGCTGATATACTTAAAATATCCAAATCAATAAAGTTATTGGTGAAAATGAAAAATGTATCTTTATTTTATGGAAAAAAACTTAACAGACTTTTGACCAACCCAAAATGAGATATAAAACCACAAAGCCCTGGCTGGTGTGGCTCAGTTGGTTGAAGCATTGTCTTGAAGCTCCAAAGGTCACAGGTTTGATTCCTGGACAAGGTACATGCTCAGGTTGCAGGCATCCAACAGTCTCACTCTCTCTTCCCCTCTCTCTAAAATCAGTGAAAAATGTCCTCGAGTGAGGAGAAAAAAAAATACAGAGGGCCATGTTCTTTAATTGTCTCACATTCTTACATTGTTTAAATAACTATTCTGTTCTTTTTTTAAAAGATTTATTTATTTGAGAGAGGTTGAGGGAAGGAGAAAGAGAAATATCAGTGTGTGATTGCCTTTTGTGTACCCTCAACTGGGGACCTGGCCCACAACCCAGGCATGTGCCCTAACTGGGAATTAAACCGGTGACCCTTTTGTTCACAGGCCAGCACTCAATCCACTGAGCCACACCAACCAGGGCTATTCTTGATGCTTTATTAAATTTTAACCTCTGTCTTTAAAGTGCATCATTATAGATTCAGGTAACTTCTTATCCCTCTTTAGCTTTACATTTTAAGTAGAACAGAAAGATTGTAGTCAGGCAATAGCTAGGAGTAATAACCAGCATTCTCTGGGTAGGGCAGATCATTGCATATAATTTGAATTTTTGAACTGCTTTTGAATTTTTGAAATTTGTTGAAATTTGAATTTTTAAATTTGTAAAGATTATGGGATGCTTTTATACAGAGCTTTTTAAACTTAATCATTAATTATGCAGTATGTCCAGAAAAAGTCCAGCCATTGTTAATATAATGACAACAGTTTGTGCAACATCAATGTAACCTGGCAGCCAAGAACAGTGCCCTGGAATGTGTATGCATGAACAATGACAACTTCATTGTACTAGTTGATGGGGGCAGTAGACACCATTGAGGGAGCATGTGTACTGTGTGGCCATTGCAGTCAAAATAACTGAGCAAGTAGAGCGACAAATCGCATTAAATTGTGTGTTACGCTTGAACATGCCTCCATGGAAACTATTTGGATGATTCAGAAGCCTTCCGGTGATGATGCAATGAGTGCAGCACAAAAAAGTGTGACTCAAATGCTTCAAAGATGGTTAAGAATCTGTTGAAAGTGATCTACATTCTGGAAGGTCTACAACAAGCAAAGCACCTGAGAATGTTGAAAGTGTACAGGCTTCAATCAACAAAGATTGGCAACTAACAGTGTGATAACTAGAAACTGGTCTGAGGATTCCAAAAACAATTGTGTCCTAGATTTTGATGCAGTTCTTCGCATGAAACATATCATAGCAAAGTTTGTTCTATGGCTTCTGCTACCAGAGCAGAAGGAAAATCATGCTGCAGTTACTAATGATCCTGGGAAAATTGTGTAAGGCCTACTTTGAAGGGGACTGAGGCATTGTTGGCCTATGCACAACGTTTCTTGTATCTTGTATCTTCTTCAGTAAATGTCTTTTTCATATTACAGGACTGGGTACTTTCTGGATATACTTCATATATAGAGGCATTATATGTATCTACTAAATGTGGTACATAAGTATACCTTTGAATCTCTACTGTGTACAGTGCATCTGACATCAGATAGCTCATGGGATGGCTCCAGCAAAAGTTGCTGAGGCCTTTTTTTCATATTCTTTAATAAGGAAAGAATAACCCTTGGAGGGCTTTGCAGAGGTTCATTTTTTATGTTGAGTATTCATTTAAGCCACATTCAGTAAAGCTATATGAAAGACATTTCACTTAGGATATAAAAGTAAGCACATCTCTTTTTTCAAAGCTCATGACTAAAATGTATATAAACTTGTGATGGGAAATTAGGATAAGGAAGTAGTTCTCTTGCATGAAACCTTTCTTGAAGTGATCTTTAAACCTGATGTTGAAGGTTGGGGGAAAATGGGCAGATGTTGATATATGGCAGTTCTGATGAATTTGAAAAAGAGTGAAGAACAGATTTATAGGAAATTAGGAGATATATTTTGATACCTTCAAGAAAAACAAACTACATTTTTATGAAAGTCATGATAATTTGGTTATATAGAGATATATAATATAATTTGGTTATATTGTTTTTGCCAATAACAACTTAAGTATTGATTTAACTACACAGATGTGGATAGGAGTACAGGGTGTAGAAAAGAGCTAAATTCTCAACTTCGTAGGAACTTGATAATGGCTAAAATTTGTAACTCAAGAAATATAAGTATGAATGAGAGTTAAAACAAGTTATTTTAATTATTTACATGTGATTGCAATTAGGCATTAAGGCGTGCTGGCACACAACTACTTTATTTCATTATGAGCATTTTATACTGCTTTATTTTATGCTATTACATAGATAAAAAAATTTTAAAGGCAATAGTCCACTGGTTTTGGACCACTGTAAAGATAAGATTGTGTTCATTATGAGATTGTCTTCTGGCTCAAATTGGTCAAGTTTTGTCACTTTGTTGACCACTACATACCCCTTAAGCTAAACCTTTTCTCTCAATACCTTATCTGATTTGTACTTGTGTTATGAGATTTGAGTGTGAAGATCATGGGTTCAAATACTGGCTCTGAGCTGTTTCCTTGAAGACGTTAATACAATCTACCTTAGAGTCAAGATTTCTTTGGTTAAGTTTTTACTTTTTAAGAAAAGTAATGGTAAAAAAAAAT